AGTTATAAGATGACATAACCGCTTTGTGGAGAATTGCTGGCTCTGTACAGTAGAACAGATAAGGGAAAGTGTTTGTTCTTTGTAACTCCTCTGCAACTGCTTCGCTCACCACGGCCTTGAAGATAGCAAAAAGTATGTACAACTCTGATTTCCAGGTGCAGGCAGGGAGTGATATTTCTCCCTTGTCTCCTCCATAATTCTCATCCTGATAACAGCAAAGAAGTAATGAAGTAATGTTTATAGCTGCTTTTCTAGCTAATTTCACTATATGATCACGTGAGTTGTAAGTGACTGTTAAAAAGTATATAAGCCTCCTGATTTTGCTCTTGGGGGGGAACCCCTTCCAAATGCTTGGGAAATCCATGTCACCTTGGAATCCCCCCTACAGCTGTAGTTTCTTTTGAATAAAAGCTTCTGCTCACCTGACCCAAAAGTATGCTGCGTGTGTTTCCACGACATACTCTATGACCTATCTCAGCATTTTTTTTAAGAAGGATACTTGAAAGGTCCTTTCCCACCAAGTTGTCTGTAACCAATTGTTTTCTTATTGGATATTTCCTAGGAATACTAGCAAATAAAAAAAAAATAAGAAAAACATTTCAGAACAGATTTTATATGTAGAGTTAAACTTTTGTGTCACTGACCATTACCTGCTTATTCACCAAACATACCCCTACTTGCAGGATTTGGCCCTAACGATATAAATCACCTTGGTAGTTGATTCATGTGAATACACAGCTCCTAACCTCCCCTTATACCCTGTCCCATGCCTTGCAGATGGCATCACGTACTGGTGACAATTCACTTGGCCCCTTACTGGTCCAAACTCAGTCCCATGCTGAACCTCTCTCATACTACCCTAGCTGATCCACACTCACTCTACCCCTTCCTTGGGCCTCAGTCACACTGCTCCTCTCTGGGCCTCAGTCACACTGCCCTACTCTGTATAGCCCTTCAGAACCACCCAGGCTGTCTACTCTATGAAGCCTGAAGGGCTGTATCTCTTTCATGATTGGTCCTGACCTGTTGCAGACCTTCAGGTCATCCAATTCAGGCCCTTCTCTACAAAGGGGTATCAGAACTACTGCCCCACATACTGGGATGATTCGAGACTCAGGTGTCTCAAACTCAGTCTACAGCTCACTTAGGCCTCAGGTATCTGTTGATGTGCCTGGACCCCTAACCCAGCCTATGGCTCACTCAGGCCCAGTTGGCTGTCAACATGCCTGGACCCCAAGCCTGTCCCCTCTATGGGATAACCTACCAGGTTGTGGGGGCTGAGGCTATACAGCACCCCATCCTCACCTTTCACTGGGGAGGCACAGGTGTGGCATTTCCTGGGGGCTGCCCCA